CCCCGCTAAATGCATGATCAGCCTAGAGCATCCCTGACAAGTGTTTGTCCAGCCGCTGCTTCAAGACTGCCAGGGAGGGGGAGGCTCACCACCTCCCTCGGCAGCTGATTCCACCATTGAAGAACTCACGACTGTAAAAAGGTTTTCTGTAATAACCAGCTGGTACCTCCCTGCCCTTAATTCAAACCCATGATTGCGAGTCCTCTTCCCTGCTGTAAACAGGAACAGCTTCCTACCCTCCTCTAAGTGGCAGCCCTTTTGATCACTCTGTCTAGTCTCCTTTTAAAGCCCACTAAGCTAAAGAGCTTAGAGCTGTTCTCTCAAGGGCAGATCTCGGGAGAGCTCTCTCAGCTCACCTGCCTCACAGGGTGTCTGTTCTGGGGAGGGGAAGGGAAAGGAGTTTGTAAGCTGCTCTGAGACTCCTTTGGGTAGTGAAGAGCCGGGTATAAATCCAATCTCTTCTTCTTCTACTACCCACCGATTTCATTCAGGAACGTTCGTATCATGATGAGGCACAGAAAGGCTTCTATCCCAGTCACAGTTCTGGAAGCCTCTCTCTTATCTCCACTTTGTTGTCTTCCTTTGACACAAAGAAAGCCTCCCTCGATGCAGCCTCATACGACCAAGCCAGTGTGGTATAGTGGTTAAGAGCAGGGCTTTTTTTGTAGAAAAAGCCCAGCAGGAACTTATTAGCATAATAGGCCATACCCAGCAGCTAGAACTCATTAGCATATTAGGCCACACCCATGACAGCACAGCTCATTAGCATATTAGGCCACACACCCCTTGTTACCAGAAGTGTGGTCATCCAGCCACACCCACCTTTTGCTCCTTATTGTTTACCTTGTTTGTTGTCAAAACCCAGGGCCTTTTTTTGTAGCAGGAACTCCTTTGCATGTTAGGCCACACACCCCTAATGTACCCAATCCTAATGAGTTCCTGCTGTTGGGTGTGGCCTATTATGCTAATGAGTTCCTGCTGGGTGTGGCAAGCTTGGGAGCCAGCCGGAACTCCGTTCCTGTGCGTTTCTGTCCAAAAATAGCCCTGGTTAAGAGTGTCGGACTAGTATCTGGGAGAACTGAGGTCGAATCCCCAACCCTGCCATGGAAGCTTGCTGGGCAGCCTTGGGCCAGTCACACACTCTCTGCCTAACCTACTTCACAGGGTTGTTGTGAGGATAAAATGGAGGAGAGTAGAACGCCGTAAGCCGCTTTGGGTCCCCACCGGAGAGAAAAGCGGAGTACAAGTGACTTAAATAAACTCCCCTGTAGGGAAGACGCTCTAATCTTTTGCTTGCATTAGCTACCAATGTCTGGTCCTCAAGAGAGAGGCTGAACGCGAGAGACTGCTGCAATAAAGCCAACCCACCGCCTTCACCAAACCAGTGAAACTAGAAACAACATGGAAGTTTCCCATCATTTGCTTCATTTCCAGGATTTCTGGATAACGGACATACCACCAGTGCAACAAATGATTTTTATTTATTACTTGGTGCTTAGTACAGGATTTGGACAACGTCTTTATCAAGCAACCCCTAACGCAACAATTTTAGGAAGAGTTCCCTTTTTTTTTACCCCAGGAAAACTGAGTCCAGCCAGTGTTTAAACTATCAGCCAAAAACTATTTGCCTAAAGGTCTACCTCGCCCGTGGAAGAATCCGGGATTCTTGCTTGACACTTCTCACTTCGGATCAATGCTGCAAGGGAGGGTAAGGGACCCAAATACTCTGACACTTCACAGACTATACAAAGTTCCGGAAACGAGAGCTCGGCCCGTGCCTCTAAACTGCCGCAGTTTTGAAAGAGGAGAAAAGTTTACGTGTAATCACGGCAACCGCCTTCTGCAGAATGTCAGCTCATCTCCCCCCCCCCCCCACACCCGCGCCCCACCCCCCAGTGACCGAGCGAAGAAGCGAACAAGTCACACTCCTCCCAGATCCCACAGGGGAAAGATTTTATGCTGGTCGTGTAAAATCAGACAGCACCCTGAAACACGACTCTGCACAGCAGGAAAAAAGTACCATATCTCCAGCCTGTCTGTAAAATAGGACAACATAAGCGGTTTTCTGCTGGACCTGACAGTGTCCTGAACGAATCTGGCACGGAAGAGCAAGAACGGCAACACTTAAGACCACCCTTTCCCGTGACTTTTGCAACTGCTTTGCCTTTACGTGGCACCTTCTGCATCCTCTCCCCCCTCCCCATACCACCTATATATCTGGCCGGTTACTTCATACCCTCGATGCAGAGAGCTGTGTTGCTCGAAATCTTATGCCGCAATAAAAGTTTGTGAGTCTTAAAGGTGCAACTGGGCTCTTTACTATTTCGCAGTGACAGACCGACACGGCTAACTCCTCTGGATCTACAACGGTTAGACCAGCATCACGTGCAAGTTCTGTACTCTTCGGGCCTGGTTAACTACTGCTGGGCGTTGAAGATCTTTGCTAGCAGAGAACGGCTGGACTGGGATTTCTCCTGGATCTCAGCAGCCCGGGCCAGCTGCTGCTGGAGACGCTGGCTCCCCTTGCTGGTCTGGATTTCCTCCTCGGTGCGACGCTGGACGAAGCCCCAGCTCTTGTCCTCCGGCTCGCCCCGACCGTCCTTCTTGGAGAAGCGTTTGCTCTTCTCCACATTCTGCAGGTAGAAATTAGTCTCCCGTTTGGCCTGCGAGACCTCGGCGCGCATGCGCTGCTGCTGCACCTGGCGCTCGTACGCCAGCCGCTCGCTCAGGTGAGTCCACTTGAAGCGGTGCAGATACTGGGGACCGAAAAGGCAAGGGAACAGGTTAATGCGTCACCAGACATCAGTATATCAGTCCTGGTTTCCTCTCTTCCTGTACCCTGTTGTGGGGAGGGGAAGGGAAAGCAGTTTGTAAGCTGCTCTAAGACACCTTTGGGTAGTGAAGGGCAGCATATAAAGCCAATCTCTTCTTCTTCTTCTACCTCACAGGGTGTCTGTGGTGAGGAGGGGAAGGGAAAGCAGTTTGTAAGCTGCTCTAAGACACCTTTGGGTAGTGAAGGGCAGCATATAAAGCCAATCTCTTCTTCTTCTTCTACCTCACAGGGTGTCTGTGGTGAGGAGGGGAAGGGAAAGCAGTTTGTAAGCTGCTCTAAGACACCTTTGGGTAGTGAAGGGCAGCATATAAAGCCAATCTCTTCTTCTTCTTCTACCTCACAGGGTGTCTGTGGTGAGGAGGGGAAGGGAAAGCAGTTTGTAAGCTGCTCTAAGACACCTTTGGGTAGTGAAGGGCAGCATATAAAGCCAATCTCTTCTTCTTCTTCTACCTCACAGGGTGTCTGTGGTGAGGAGGGGAAGGGAAAGCAGTTTGTAAGCTGCTCTAAGACACCTTTGGGTAGTGAAGGGCAGCATATAAAGCCAATCTCTTCTTCTTCTTCTTAAAAAGAAATCTTTAGAAGACCCAACTATTTTATATTCACTGTTGGCTACAGTGTCCCAAATTAAAGAATTTCTGGGAAGATATATTAATACAGATAAAACAAATAACCGGACAAACTATACAATTCAATGTGGAGCATATTATTTTAAATGGATGAAACCCTCAGTCTGTTCAGATAGTATTAATAAAAGGGTAGCTATTCTTTTATCAGCAGCTAAAAATGAGACACAATTGGCACTCAAAATTATGGAATATGTATATGATGGCTAGAGTTACAGAAAATCTTAAAGATGTATATTCACAAGCAACTTCATCCAGTTTCATTTCAGTGTGGTTTCCTATTTTACAATATTTAATGCAACAAGAAGAAATATCAAAAATAATTGATGACTTAAATCTTTGGTAAATGATGGAAGGAATTTATAATGGTCATTTCAATGTTAAGTTGGAGCTAAATTTGTTATTTCTTGGGAACAATGCTACAGTTATGTATATTGTAATATGTTATACTGTTCTATCTGCCGTATGTCGCATGTTTGTTATAATAAAAATGTTATTTTAAAAAAAAGAAGAAGAAGACCACCCAACTATCATATAATTCAGGGATGGCCACCTTCCATGTTTTCTGGGACCTTGCTATTCTCCAAACACGAGTCTGCGGATCATCGGAGTCTGGCTGTAAGGAATAGAGGCTATTTAAGGTCATTGGTCTGGTTTAGGCTGGAAGTTCCAGCAGGCCCTAGTCCGGCCTGCTATCAAAGCCAATGTGCTCGCCTTTAATTACCTTCACCTGCACGCTTTTGGCTTGCAAGACAACCGTCCTCGGGACCCTCCCTGATTTTCTCATGATAATAACGCTAATTAGCGAAGTGTGCCCTTATTGGCTAAGGGGCATACCGGCTGAGCAAGGGCAGCTGAAAATATGATGCTCGCTGGCCGTTAGAGAGACCACTCCACCAGTGTGTGAGGGAGGTGGCAGTTTCTACGCCTTCGTGTCAGGATGACAAGGAGTGTTGGGCATGGAATGGATTTTCTCTCTTACGTTGGAGAGGCAAGCTGGCAACCTTTTGACGTTTAGTAAGTTAGCCCTTAGACACAGATAGTGAATGTCTACTGTTTTATATGTTGTTGAAGGCATTCGCGGCCGGAGTTCATTAGTTGTTGTAGACTTCCCGGGCTGTATGGCTGTGGTCTTGGCATTGTAGGACCTGACGTTCTGCCAGCAGCTGTGACTAGCTGTGTAGGTCATGACCTTCTAATTTTAGACTTCTTCTGTGTCAAGGTACTCCATCTTTCTGTGTTATACCTCTGAGGATGCCAGTCACAGCTGCTGGCGAAACGTCAGGTCCTACAATGCCAAAACCACAGCCATACAGCCCGGGAAGTCTACAACAACTAGTTTATTGTTATCACCTATTGCTTGTGCTTACAGTGTGGTTCCTGCCTAGCAAGCACTCCTTATAATCTGAACTGGTTAAATGAACTTAAGTTGTATTTTACCCTTTGTGTCAGGAGTAGAAGAGAAGAGATTGGATTTATACCCTGGCCTTCACTCGGAGTCTCAGAGCGGCTTACAAATGCCTTTCCCTTCCCCTCCCCACAACAGACACCCTGTGAGGTAGGTGGGGCTGAGAGAGCTCTTTCCAGAAATGCCTTTCAAGGACAGCTCTTGTCAGAACTATGGCTTGCCCAAGGTCACCCAGCAAGTGGAGGAGTGGGGAATCAAACCCGGTTCTCCCAGATTAGAGTCTGCGCACTTAACCACTACACCAAACTGGCTTAATGTCTGAGGAATGTACTTGCTGAATGTCTGCAGAACACCCTCAGAAACGAACCCAGAGGCCAAAAAGCCTCAGACAAGGGTCCAGAACCATGTGAGGCAACTAGGGGTCTCAGGTGGCTGTTGTTTCAGCGCCAGCAAACAGGAGCAGGGGCATCCTGAATCCTTACACTGGCGCTCTCAAAATCGGCAGGCTGTATCGTAACACTGGCATTACCTAGCAATAAAGTCTTCGCAATTCTGGAGCGTGATAGATCACTGATTGGAGTGGAACAGGGAGAAAGGGGGGAAGGTCTTGAGTTGTATTAAAAGGGCCATAGCCCCACTGGTGGACCTCCTGATGGCCCCTGGGGTTTGGCCACTGTGTGACACAGAGCGTTGGACCGGATGGGCCATTGGCCTGATCCAACATTGGCTTCTCTTATGTTCTCAACTGTAACGTACTCCCACTCTAGATATACGGCACAAGATGTTTCAGTAGCTTACTAAAACAGTCCAGCTTGTTCCAGTTTATGAGGGGGAGGTTGGCTTCATAAGCCTGCAAGTCCATCCAACCAGGGATAAGAGATTTGAGAAGCACGGCTGGGAGGGCCCCGTCGCTCCCCCTTCCTGCCTACAGCCAATAGGCAAGCCTGAGGCATTTAAGACAGACAGCAGGGACAACCTCGTCCACCGCAACAGACCCACCTTCATATTCCACAGGTCGTGATGGAACCGGCTCCTCTTGCGGACCCCCATGGGCGTGTTGTGCAGACTGGCGGCCACCAGCTTCGCCACCCGCTTGTCCCGGAATTCCACCCAGCCTTCCGTGAAGTTCTTGGCATTGGTCCCCGCTTTCTTCTTCTTCTTCCGTATAAATCGCTCTGGAGGACACAGAAAAGAGACCGCTGCACCACACAGGATATTGACAACTAGTCGAGTGCTAAAACAGAGCTGGGCAGTTGTGCAAGCTGCTCGTGAGGAGGAGGAGGAATTTATACCCCGCCCTTCACTCGGAGTCTCAGAGTGGTTTACAAACTCCTTTCCCTTCCCCTCCCCACAACAGACACCCTGTGAGGTAGGTGGGGCTGAGAGAGCTCTTTCCAGAACTGCCCTTGAGAGAACAGCTCTGACAGAACTACGGCTTGCCCAAGGTCATCCAGCAGCTGCAGGTGGAGGAGTGGGGAATCAAACCCGGTTCTCCCAGATTAGAGTCCGCGCACTTAACCACTACAACAAACTGGCTTTCTAGAAACTGGATGCAAGGACTTTAAGAACCATAAAAGAATTGCCCATGAGCTTACAACAGGCAAGAGTGCCCGGGAAGGGCACAGATGGCTGCAAAAGGGAATTAAGACAGATTCCTGGAGGAAAGCTAGATTTGCAGCCAGGAGCACCTTAGAGACAAACACCGTTTTCAGGGTAATAAGCTTTCAAGCGTCAAGGACCCCGTCAGTATTTTCATGGAAGCGAGGTCTATCAGTGGCTACTAGCCATGGTGACCAAAGGGAACCTCCACGTTCAAAGGCAGTCAACTTCCGAATGCCAGTGCCAGGAGGCAACATCAGCGGAAGGCCAGAGGAGCTGGCTGGCCACTGTGTGAGGTGGGATGCTGGACTAGATGGACCACTGGTCTGATCCAGCAGGGCTCTTCTTACAGCTTTCCTATGTAACTGACAATTCCTCAAGGCAAATACAGCTGTCGCTCTCAGGTGGTTCTGTCAAGTATCTGACATCTCCTGCCCTCTGCAGTTCCGATAATACATTTCATTGTGAGTCCTTTCCTGTATGGCCCTCCCAGTCCTTCATCTCTCTCCCCTCACCTATGCCAGCACCAGTCTTAAGAAAGAATCTACACAAGGGGTCCCCGGCCTTCTTGAGCCTGCAGGCACCTTTGGAATTCTAGTATAGCGTGGCGGGCGCAGCCACCAAATGCCTGCCTCGTGAGGCAGAGCCTGCCACAAAACGATTGCCATCGCTTTCCTTCAGTCACACAGTGAAGAGATATGTGCTGTGGTGGCCGCCGCCACTTCAACATTTTTAAAAATCTGCACAGCCAATCACAGCTCCAGTACCCATTCAGGAACCTTGCCCTATCTGGCCCCACCCACTTCCTAAAAACACTTGGTCGGGGCCGGAAAAGTTGTCAGCCACTACCATGGCGCCCACGGGCACCGTGTCGGGGACTCCCGGTCTACCCCAACATGATGTTACGCTTTACAGATCTGCGCCATAACATTACTCCCATCTGGTTCTGGATGGCCCCGAAGAGCACTTCGGTCGGGGTCACAGCACCGTTTAGTGACCCCGGGCCCAAAAGAGGCCAGGCTAGCTACCACAAGGGCTAGGTCCTTTTCGGTGGCGGCCCCTATCTGGTGGAATGAGCTCCCGGAGGAGATCAGGGCTCTGCAGGACCTTTTACAGTTCCGCAGAGCCTGTAAGACGGAGCTCTTCCGCCAGGCTTTTGAACTGGTCAGAAGAAGACGTTTGTCGAAACGGCATCACATTCCGGAGACCACCGTCCCGCCGTCGTTGTTATCTTCTATCTTATGTAACTGGATTTACAATTTGAATGTATTAGTATCACTTCTGTAAACATCAGGGGAAGGCCAGAGGAACTGGCTGGCCACTGTGTGAGGCGGGATGCTGGACTAGATGGACCACTGGTCTGATCCAGCAGGGCTCTTCTTACAGCTTTCCTATGCAACTGATAATTCCTCAAGGCAAATACAGCTATCGCTCTCAGGTGGTTCTGTCAAGTATCTGACATCTCCTGCCCTCTGCAGTTCCGATAATACATTTCATTGTGAGCCCTTTCCTGCATGGCCCTCCCAGTCCTTCATCTCTCTCCCCTTACCTATGCCGGCACCAGTCTTAAGAAAGAATCTACACAAGGGGTCCCTGGCCTTCTTGAGCATGCAGGCACCTTTGGAATTCTAGTATGGCGTGGTAGGCGTGAGGCAGAGCCGGCCACAAAACGATCGCCATCGCTTTCCTTCAGTCACAAAGTGAAGATTTTTGTGCTGTGGTGGCCGCCGCCACACCGTTTTTTAAAAATCTGCATAGCCAATCACATCTTCAGTACCCATTCAGGAACCTTGCCCTATCTGGCCCCACCCACATCCTAAAAACACTTGGTCGGGGCCGGAAAAGTTGGCCATTGCCATGGCGCCCACGGGCACCGTGTCGGGGACCCCCGGTCTACCCCAACATGATGTTACGCTTTACAGATCTGCGCCATAACATTACTCCCATCTGGTTCTGGTTGGCACCAGATTCACCGCTGTAATGATTTCAAGTTATATGTGTGTGTTTCTTTAAATGGTTGGTAAGTGAAGAACATGGGGGGGGTGAGAGAGGGAGAAGAGTGAGTGAGGTGATTGGCTGGTGACTGAGAGTGTATGGGCAGAGCTAGGAGGGGTGTGTGTGTGTGTGTGTGGAGAGAGAGAAGGCAG